TCCGCACTGCCGTAGTGAACTATAGGGGGTGTCCTATAGGAATCTACCTCGGCTTGGGGCTATAGAGAGATGTGGTTAAATACAAAGTGTCCACCTTCCTATCACCAATTGGTTTTAGGAAGCATTTGACACCTCTTTAACTTCAGAACTCTGTAGTTATGCGTGCTGGAACGGGAGTAGTCCTAGGATGGGTGACCCACTCAGAAGTTCCAGAAAACGATCCTACACTAGAGGATCGATCCAGACAGTGGTTTTTCAACCACTGTTCATCTTCTTCAACCTTTGGTCTATTTTTCAGAAATACCACTTTTAGTCACCGAACTTCAACGGAACTATATAGAGATGTTCTCCAAAGTTCATAGATCATTTTGGCATCATTAATTCATAGTTTTAACATCAATTTCATGGTTTGTGATTCTTAGTTCTTCAAGCATGTCAAACACAAAACTCAACCAAACGACCGTTTATGAAGAGTGAATTTCATAATTAGTCCTTTATAACATGGGGGTTCCCCATTTAGTCCTCTATTATCAAATATTACCCCAGTGGTCCTTCTTTTATGGGTATCTTTCCACAATTAGTCCTTTTTTTGATTTTCTATCATGTTGGTGTCAATTTGAGGGCTAAAAATGTAATTTCACAATGATAATATATCTTTTTGTCATACACAATTCCAAAGGCTGTTTTGTTTACGCCGTTTGTGAATTACAGTCGCTTTCTACTACAACCATAGTCTACAAATGTGGTTTTTCTTCGAAATCCTATCCCATAATCATAGTCATTTTTTCTTTTTGTGTTATCCACTTAACCAATATCAGAACACATCACTAGACATAATGTTGATGTCAAATTATACTTTTAGCATTTAAATTAACACCAACATGGCAGAAGATCAAAAACAGGACCATTTGTAGAAAGGCACCCTTAAAAAAGGACTATGGGAATAATATTTGATAATAGAGGACTAAATATGGAAACCCCCCCTGTTATAAAGGACCAATTATGGGATTTACTCGTTTATGAACGTAGAAACGATCTATATGAACATTCTAGTCACTAGATATATCTACGGGCTTACCTCGAAGCTTAATGGAGGTTTTGGAAATTTTCCGGCAAAACTTCCGGCGATGATTTGTCTCAACTTCGGCGACTTCGGCGGAAACCAACAATACCAGACTACTCTCCTCGCTCTTATGAACACAATGGTATTAATTTCCAAAAAAATTGGTGAAGAAATGGTAAGGATTGAGTATCCTTATATAGGAGAAGAGAAGGGGAAGAAGACATGTTGCATCACCATTTCCACGATCCTGAGATCGGCTAGTGCGCTAGGAGGCGCCGTTCGCACAATGTCCATGATTGGGACCAATTTTGGTTCTAATCAGGGTCCACGATCCAAAACGAGAGCATTTCTCGTAATCTTCGATAAACGTTTGAACTTTACGGTTGATGTGACCCCTTTTGAAAATGAGTTGGTCTTGGGTTTGGTAGGAGGCGTCCTTGTTCATCGCCGAAAAGAACTTCTCTTTGATACGATCCCACATTGCATCATTTATTTGCTCAGAACCTTTAAGAAATATATAATTGAACAAAAAAATATTTTAATACAAATATATAAAAAATAACATATATACAATATATATATATATATATATATATATATATATATATATATATATATATATATATATATATATATATATATATATATATATATATATATGGGATTGACTCCAAGCAGATGACACCTTACGGTGAGATGACATGCTTCGGTCAGATGACACAAAGCTCACCACTGGCCACTGCAAAGCTCACGAAGGACAACTATAAAGCTCACTAAAGTGTAAGGCAAAGCTCACCATATTTTTTCAACACTTTGAATTTTTTTTGAAAAAAAAAATCAAAGTGGTGTTGACTAGACTTTGACCATTGACCGTTGACCATCATCAAAGGAAAAGCTGACTGGACTTTGACCACCGCCCACCGCCGCCGCCGATCTCCGCCTCCGGCCGCCACCGATCTCCGCCGCCGCCGTCCGCCGACCTCCGCCGCCGCCGCCGGTGACCTCCGTCGCCTTCGCCGACCTCCGCCGCCGCCGCCGCCGCCGCCCCCGCCCCCGCCGGTCTCCGCCGCGCCGCCCCCACTGACTGGTGGTTGACCGGTGTTGCTATTTTATTTTTTATTAATTTTTTAATTTTCAAAATAAAAAAAGGTGAGTTTTGGTATTCAAAGTGGTGAGCTTT